CTGGTACTTGATTAATTGGTTGTTTGGTCTCTTGGGATACGACCTTGCTTGCCACATACTACGAGCGAAGCCGTACACTTGCGGTAGAGCTTTAAAAATATAGGCGAACAGTTAGACACATGATCATATTTGATGTCTAAGTTGCCCAGTTGTTGTTGTAATTCCTTGTTGACACTCGAGATCTTTTCCTGCAATTCAGATCCCAATCCCATCATTTGTTCATGCAATTTAACCTCTACAGCTTCTCTTTTCATGGATTCGGTGTGTATAATTTGATCTAATCGTTTCTGGTTTTCCTGCAGATCCTTCAAACGTGTGTTCTCAGCCATATTCCAAGGATCGAGAGCTCTGCATACCAATTGTAGTGGGCCGATATATTTCTGTATTTACTTATACTAATTTTACTGTAATTTAGCTTGAGATGAGCAGATTTGGGAAGAAGAAGATGAGAGAAAACATGTAGAGAGAGAAAGAGAGAAGAGAGAGAAAGTAGTTAGAGAAAATGACATATTTCCTGTCCTTTACTTCATTGATTGAGAATACAAATAAAGATAGTTAGTTGGGCTAACAAATAAGCCTAACAGGCCCAACTTAAAATGCTTAAAATAATTCCTCACAACTATGTAAATAAAGCCCAAAAACATAACCCAAATGCCAAAATTGAAAATAACAAGTAAATACCCAATTTCTTAGACATACTCAAATCCTCAACCCTAAAGTCACAATCTTTTCCCTTTTCTCTTCGACCGCCGGCGATTCCTGCTCGTCTTCTTCGCCGTTCATCACAATATCATAATAAAATTTTCATAACTGATTTTTAATTTTTAATTTGTGATTATATTTGTAAATTTATCATGCATATTCAAATAATATTTTATAAAAAAACTATTTGATAGATAGTTTTTTAAAGACATGGTGTATGGTTGGTCACCAAAATAATAAGAATTTCACTAATTAATAAGAAGAATCAGATTTTTATTGTGATAATTATCACAAATTAATTTTAAATTGATACCACATTATTTTTATATAAAATTGTGCTATTAACGGAATTACAGGATTTACAACATGCCCGTATAATTTTATTTTAATTTTTTTTATAAGTATATAGGTATTTTTACAATAATTCCTTTAATAGTAAGTCAAACAATTAATTACAAAGTCAAAGTTACTATTAGATTATTAGATTAATTACAAAGTCAAAGTCAAAGTCAATATACATAGTTATAGATTTTACCACAAGAATTATTTTATGGAATCACATTGTCGTTAAATCGAATTTATGAATATAAATTTTTAAATTACACTTATTTTAAAATTAATATAATGTAATTCATTATCAGTACGTGCACCGTACGTGTTGTGTGTTATCATCCGACTCGGCAAGACGCTGTTAAGAGGTTTTAAGCATCCTGTTAAACGCGATTAACAGTTAAACCGACATGGATCATAACCGGTCTGAACCACCAAAGACCGAAGTGACCGACGATTACCGAGGTCAACCCCCACCGAGGACAACATGAACCGAGGTCGTCACCTCCTAAAGCAGGTGACAAGGCATCTACGAGAGGCTCTCCTACTCCACAAGATCTGTCATCATTTACGTGGGACCCTCTGCCTCGAACCGCTCATAAAAAGCTACTTTATTCAAAAAAGTAGAACACGGATCCCAATATCTCAGCCCAAAACTACTATAAATAGCGGACCCGTGACAATTGTAAATCGCTCTCGATTTGATAGACATTACCGAACTAAAAACCCTTTATTGCGAAACACGAAAAAGCCCATCACGGCTCTTCACCTCGGTTCACCTCGGACCGGGGCCATTGTTGGTTCAATCTCACATGCTTTACGTTCAAATTATTCCAAAGTGCTCACTTAATCATATGTTACATCGTTGTTAACAATCACATGACGACATTGTGTACTAATTTTAAATAAGCACGTTTTATGTACGTCTCATAACATTTTCAATA